CTGCAGGATAATGGGGTAAAATTGGATTTATTCCAGGAAGTGGCAGCTCAGAACCTCAGGATTTTTCCCTTCCTCCTCTTCCTTCCTTCCTCTTTTTAGGCTGAATTTCAGTTAAAATAAATCTTGGGTTTTTTTGGGAACATTGTTCCTTTTGGAGGTTTGGAGGAGGGGATTTTATGGAATCACAGAATCCTGGGATATTTTGGGGTAAAAGTGACCTTAAAGCGCATCCCATCCCATGGGCACGGAATCCTTCCCCTATCCCAGATTGCTCCAGGCCCTTCCAGCCTTGGACACTTCCTGGGATGGAGCATCCACAGTTTTGCTGGGAAATTTAATTTTTCCTCCTCATTTTTTTCCTATTATGAAACTGTTCCCCGTGACCACTGTGGAAATGGATTGTGTTACCCTGGAACAGCAATTCCTGGAATGTTAAACCAGTGTCCTGGGAATCCCTCAGCAGGAAGAGCCATTGGTTGATATTTAGGACAGACAGAAATTATTATTAACGAGGAGTCGGTGCAGAAATGCTGCAAGAATAATTAAATGAATCATTTATTCAATTTATTTAAATTATTCCAGCTCTTCCATCCCTTTGGCTCGGATGAACATGGATTAAAATGGGAGGGAAAATGGAAAGATCCCATTTGGGAATGAGGATCTGAGGCAGGGAGGATAAAGAAGTTAAAATGTGGATAAAACTGAGGAGGGATTTTAATTTATAAGAAATTTGTTTATGTTTTAGGAAACATGGAAAAGTGATGGGATTTTCTTCTCTTTTTCTTTTCCAGGAACTTGGAGAATCATCCAGTGGTTCAGTGCTGAGGGAATTCTGTGGGAGCATGGCTGGAGCAGGACACGGGGTCAGGGCGCGGAATGCAGGCAGTGATGGTGAGCAGGGTCATTAATTACACGGCACTAATTACTGACAGCAGCCACAGGGCAGAGCCTGGGATTCTGGGATGGTTTGGGTGGAAGGGACGTGAAATCCCATCCCATTTACCCAGGGACACCTCCCACTGTCCCAGGTGCTCCAGCCTGGCCTGGGACACTTCCAGGGATCCAGGGGCTTTTCTGGGAATCCCAGCCCAGCCAGGAATTCCCAATTCCCAACATCCCACCCATCCCTGCCCTCTGGCAGTGGGAGCCATTCCCTGGCTCCTGTCCCTCCATCCCTTGTCCCCAGTCCCTCTCCAGCTCTCCTGGAGCCCTTCAGGCCCTGCCAGG